GTGAGGAAGGAAGAGAACCACCGCATCACGGTGCCCCCCATTCCCAACCCACCCAACCGCCGCAGCATGATACCGTGGTCCACGGTATCAAAAGCCGCCGAGAGGTCCAAAAGAACTAGGACAGAGGAATAACCCCTGTCCCGGGCCCTCCAGAGATCATTAACCAACGTGTGATATTCAATATCTCCAGTCAAAAACAACAGATACCATACCTTAATGTATTATTAACATTATCTAATATATATAATTATAGAATATAATGAATGGGCACTGTAGTATTAACTATAGTTTTCTAAGAATTCTTTAGAAATGCAATTTTTCCTACTTACGCTCTTTTTAAAATGTAGGATACTTTATTATTAACAGTGATTTGTTCTACTATGTCCCATATATAGCAAATCAGACAGCAATGTTGGTTAAAAATACCTCGGGTCAGTTTTAGCAGGGTAGGGCATGCATCCTGGGCAAGGGCACAATTACCCTGTCACCCAGTGCTCCTGAGTATCTGCTGCATTCAGGCATTTTTCTTTGGCTGTTGAGAAGCCCACACGGCCTATCCAAAGCTTCAGAAGACTTCCAAAGTCCTGCTAGTTCAAGCTCCAAGGTGGCTTTGGGAAAGAAGGTTTGATGTGACCAGGTCCTGCATTGGATAGACTGCAGGGTGGCTTTGGGAAAGAAGGTTTGATGTGACCAGGTCCTGCATTGGATAGACTCCAAGGTGGCTTTGGGAAAGAAGGTTTGATGTGACCAGGTCCTGCATTGGATAGATGGCACCAGGAAGCAGTGCATGGCAGATGCTTGAGAACACTGGGCAACAAGGACAATTGTGCCAATACCCAAAACTTGTGTGCCTTGGAGAACAGCACTCCTCAATGGTAGCAGTGGCACAAGAATTAAAGTTAAGGCCTGGGCAACCTTGGCTCTTTTATGACTCGTGGACCAACTCCCAGAATGGCTGGCTCAGGAATTCTGGGAGTTGAAGTCCACAAGTCATAAAAGACCCAAGGTTGCCTTCCTCTGGCCTGGGCCATAGCACTTGTCTGAGACTGCCGAAGGCACGAGACTCTCCTTCTGCCTTAGCCTAGTGCTGCAGTCGAGTGCTGCTGTGCAGGGTGGCCTAGATGTGGGAGAAGAGATGGGCAGAGAGGAGGAGCTGCAATGCCGCTACAGACCTAAGTATGGGCACGCTGCCAAACACCCTAACTTTTACCTCATGACTGTAAGGGTGCTGCAACATTCATGATTATGAGCATGGCTTGTAATTCCGTCATAATATCAAATAGTCACGGAACTAATGGTCAGGGTCCACCTGTACTGCAGACTCCATTTCTGGTTCTGCTAAAAAGTGCTTATATATTTGTTTACTATTTTTTTTTTTGTTACAGTCTCTGCCCTATAAATACCCTCCCCCTGAGTTACGATAAGCCTCTACCCTTATATCCCCTTGGAGAGCACTTAAAACCTGACTCTTTCTCCAGGCATTGGGACAGGGTGATGCCAGGGTAGGATGAGAATATGAATTCATTAAAGAAGTGTGGCTACGCACCAAGGTTTTTTGGGGGATTTTATTGCCATTGGTTTTTACTGTTTTTCTATGATTTTATCAGTTGCACGTTACCCAGAGTTGTTTTGAGATGGGAGGCTATAAAAATGTGGCAAATAAATAAATATCATTAGATTTATAGGTTGCCTTTATTTTATACCAACTCTAGGCAGTGTTAAACGTATTTAATATTTTAAAATGTACTGCTGGGCTATTTTTGTTAGTATTTTATGTATTGTTTATACTTGCATTTGAAGTATTCAGAATGCTATTATAGAAACAATAAACAAATAATCAACTAGGGGATATATAATGGTATATTATTTTACATGTGGAATATATTATATTTCATCCAAAAGGAAGTTGTTCTGGATTCCATTCTTCCACTTGATTTTTCCATAACATTTCCTCTTTCTACATGGGCCACAGTCCCCTCCATTCAGGCAGGTCAGCAGGAAGAATTTTCAAAGACTTCTGCAGACTAGTCAAGAAGGGAGATGATAATCTGAATCTTGAATGAGGGAATATAACAGTCAGAATTGAAAATTAATGTCTCATTCCTCTCATTCCAATTCCTTTCCCTTTTTTAAAAAAACAAACTGTAATTAGCTATGTAAAAAATAATAATTTTCAGTTAATTAAATTCACTTTTACAGTCTTTGCTAGATTTTTTATGCATCAAGTGTTTCATTAACTTCTTTCTGTAAAGACAACAATAAATGTTGGCAACAATAGACATTAATTTAATTAATTTCCTACAAAACGCAACTAACAAATAAAGACTTTTTAACTAACATACATTTTTTCTGCTGTATCGAATAAGCCCATGCAGAGGATAATAGAGGAAAAAAGAATGACAGTTCATATTACATTTTAGCAAAAGATTATTCACTGACTTAATGAAGCAAAAGAAAATCTGCTCAAAAACAACAGAGTTGGCCACATGTCTCTAATGTCATAATTTTGAAACAGTAAGATTGTTCAGGTGTAAATGGGCTTAAATCTATTGGGGTTTTTTTTGACGAACTGAAATTTAACTAATTCTGAGGGCAGAATTTCAGTTTGTGGCTGGGTAGGGGGAAGCCTTTGACACCTATAAACCAAGCAAGGAACTAAGAGAAAATAGTAAAAAAAACAAGAAATATGACTCATAAAAATAAACTGCTCCCATAAATCTTGTTTTTTTGGTTTTATTTATAGTTGCCTTAGGTATCTTTGGATAATCTGGCTAAAATACATGATTTACCAAGCCCTAACATTGTTATATTTTGGACTTGTCTTATCTTACATAAAGAATGTATTTTTATACATTTTTTAAAATAAATGTACCATTTATAAAAAGAAGACAACTCTCCCTCCCTCCCTCCCTCTCTCTCTCTCTCTCTCTCTCTCTCTCCACACACATACAATTACACACAAAGACAAAGAAATAACCAGCTGAATTACAGATACAGATTCCAATAGCAGCTTAAATTTTAATATTTTATTAATCCTGCTTAAGATCTAATTTTTAATAATCTAAATAGTCTGTAGTCCTCCACAAATATTTCATTCAATAAGGATAATCCACTGTCTTACCTAGCTTTCGAAGCAAACATAATTAGAGTTTCCTGATAAAAGTAGCAATAAGCAATATTTTGCATCAGTGACTTTAGTTTCATAAGAAAGTGTATCAAACCCATGAAATATGCCAATAAGGTACAATGCTGGGTGAATAGTTAACTCCTATATTTAGTATCATTGTTTAACTAATTTAATTACCTCATTATTAATTAGTCAGCTGTATTAGCAAAATAATACTATAAGCATTTACAAGGAAATTAAAAACAACAGTTTCTTCAGTCTCCAAGTCCAAAAGCATGTTAAGTTTAAGTCTTTGTACACCTTACCCTTGCTTTCCTAAATAAAACTAAACACTGTTTATTGAATTAAATAGGAAACAAGAACAGGGTGTACATAAAAATACTGTTGCTAAGGTTATAAATTCTTCTGTCCTAAGATGTTGCTGAGAGTAGTTTGCCTGGGAGGATAAAAATTTGTCAAAAAACATTTTAAGTATAAGCTCTATGGATATCTTAGTGCCTTTCCAAAGTTGCAGTGCTAATTACTCGGCCTCTCCAACCTGCCTTTGTTGCCAATCACTGCTAATCACCTAACTTTTCTCCATCAAAATAAGCATAGTAGATTTCACATAATTCGGACTCCTTTTGAGTAATATCAGAATAAGGAGAAAACTCTCTTTTAAGACACAGCTAATCATAACTTAAATCCATCTCACTCATAAACTAAGAACAAGATGATGGCAACATCAATGGGAAATGGTAGAAAAACAAATGTTTCCTGGTCATGTTTGTGCTGTGCATACTTGTCCATGACAGTAAGGAAAAGAGGGAAAAGGTGACAAAACATGCCTTGGGATGCAAACTGGCCTTGAGATGTCCCAATGCATACGTAAAAATGTAGAGAGCTTTTATTGTGAGGTTGAAAGTTCATTCTCACAAACCCGCAGCCGCACTCTGCCAGGAATTATCCAGAACCAAAGACAAGATACAGAAGGATGAAAGAAACAATGAATATACAAAATCAACTATTACCATTGTAACCAATTCTTCGTGGGACAAACATCACGTCAATTAAAAAACAGGATTAACGAACACCAGCTGGCAGTCAAACACCATGATCCCAAATCCTTAATCTGTATTCACACTGACACCAAACAGCACCAGTTTGATTGGAACAACACAAAAAATCATTGGCCACACTACCACCCACCACGCTCTTGAGTTCGTCGAAGCCTGGCACTCCACAAGCAATTCCATCAACAGACACGTCGACCTACAACCAGCCCAGAATCCAAATCAACCACACAGCCAACCAGAGACAGCACCAACCCTCAATCAACCCACAGAAGCCCCCCCAACAAGCACTTCACCTCCCAATGACTCTGACCTGATGTAACCTCCCCATAACAAGACCCATTATAAGACTCCCACTGATGACTCACACCTATCACAAGACCCATCACAAGACCGTCACTTGACACACCCACATTTGAAGCCCTTATATACACTGACATCCCCTAAACTCTGCTGAAGATGTTACCTAGCCTGGTAACAAAATGTCCGTAAACCAACCCACAAGCTTGAAGAACGAACTGTTACCCTCTTCCTACACCGAGCTACAATATTGCAAGCTTTTTTGACATCTTGACATACATTTTCTGCAGGGCAACCGTTAGGTGAAAGTGGGGACATTTCATTTCTCTTTATGGTTTCAGAGAGAAAGCTGTTCACCTATGCGAAAAAAGCAAATAAAGCCAATACCAACAGTATGAATTACAAAAACATTTCCTATGAATGACATATATTATTTCCATTTATTTTATTTATTGTTATTTCCCAAAAGCTCAGTGAAACAGGAAATGTTTTGCATTCACAAAACTGGTTCAGTTCCTAGCCTGTGAATCCTTTTTCCTTTCCTTTCCTTCATCCTATTTCATTCTTTGGAATTATATGATTGCTTCTTAGGTATTACTTTTTAGAAGCAGAATCTTTCAGGTAGATATTTAAGTACGCACATTTCTATTTTCATATATATAATTCATATTTATTTGAATCATCCTTAAAAATAACTCTTAAATCAGACATGCCAAACTCAAGGGCTGTGGGCCAAATCGGGCCTCCAGTCGGTTTAGATATGGCCTGCGGGGCTACCCTGGAGATGGCAAGGGGCCGGCCCCTGTCAACCCTGGCCCACCCCAGCCTAGCCAGGCGCATGCATAAGAGGCGGTGAGCATGAGGGGGCTGGCAGTGCCTGGCAGCAGCTGCAGCTCATTGGCCCCTCGGCCGCTCATTGGCCAGCAGCAACGACCAGCTGGAGGTGAGCCAGTGCATCCATTAAGCTGTGTTCAGCCCCATCCCACATACACTGTACTTGCAAACCTTGTAGCACTGCAGCTTGCACAGTACAGGTGGGTTTGAATGCCACAGCCATCAGGCCAGCCTTTAAGTGGCAGGCAGAGGCAGAAGTGCGGGGTGAGGCACACAATCTAGCTCTTCAGATGCGCTGGGCAGACACCCTGACATCGTCCCATCCCAGCCATAGCAACCGTGGGCAAGTAAAGACAGATGGTGGGGGCATGGAGAGGCAGACTAGCTGGTCACTGTAACTGCCACATTGCAACCACTGCCCACTCAGCCTCTGTCATCCAACCTCATCCTCTAGCTCTGGCCACACATGTGGGACGAGCATCCCACCCACCCCTAAACCTCTGACAGCCCCGGGGAAGGAGAAGAATGGAAAGTTCTCATCCCCAAGAGGCATCCGGGACTTTTTTCCCTGCTCTGCCCTGCCCTGCCTGAGCCCAGCCCTGGAGCTGCCTTCTGCTGGAGTCGGGATGCCATTTGAGGCTCACCCTCCGATCCCACCTTCCACCCCTTACTCCCACTCAGCCACACCCTACATGCACCACACTTGAGCATCTTGGGATCCTGCAGCCAGGTCACCTCTGCCCCACCACTTGCCTCACCTTGCTTGGCGGCAGCACAGGCTAAGCAGCAGCCACCCCATGGCGGCAGCACAGGCTAAGAAGCAGCCACCCCACCCAGCAGGAATCATGCTGCCCCTCCACTCTCCTCCAGCCCGGGAAGCCCAGCCTGGCCAAGGAGAGCAAGCACAGCAGCAGCAGTCTTGAGGAGTATGTAAGTATGGGGGATGCCTCCCCAGGGAAGTGGAGCTGGGCCGGGCAGGGCTATGCATCCAGCATGAGTGTTATATTCCCCTCTCTGGCCCTGCCATGCAGTGGAGAGGGTGACCCAGAGCCGGCCCCGTACTAACACTCAGCTCGTACTGCCCCATGCTTCCATCTCCCCACCTTTTGTCCCATGGGCCAGGTCCTGTCCGCTGCCTGGCTGATGGGATGAAAGAGACAGGAACATGGGGTGGCATGAGCCAAGCATGCCATGTGGCATGGCCCTCGCCACCATGTGGCAGAGCTGGAGAGGGGGATGTGGCACTCATGCCTGGATTGGCCAGGTACCCATGACATGTGAGCCACCCTGTGGAGGATGACTGCACCCTGAGCTCTGGAGCATGGCGTCCAGTTAGTGTTGATGATCCCCCAGGTTGCCTGGAGCCCTGGGCAGCAGAGGGCAAGCACCCAGTCCTCGAGCTCCCAGGGCACCAGTATCTGCAGCCCAGACTTGCTTCCCCGAGGGGTGCATGGCCATACTTAACTCCTCCTCAAGGCTGCTGCGTGCTCACTCTCCTTTGGGGACAGTGAGGCTTCTCTGGTGGATGACACTTTGGTGCTCATCCAGGTCTCACCTTCCTCTGCTGGAGATCTCTGGATCCCCCTCTCCCAGCCTTGCCTGGCCCCCCACATGCACTCCTCAATGTGAGTGACATTGAGTTGGCCATGTTGAGCTGGCAACACCCCCCCCATCCATGCCCACCAATCCATGCCCATCTGGCCCTTTGAGGGCAACTATAATGTTGATGTTGCCCTCAATGAAATTGAATTTTGATATCAGATATTTTCCCAAAGCTTATTCAAAAAAACAGACATACCTTTCCTCCTGAAAATGTCCATACACCTCTTTTCGTTCTTTTTGTTCTTGTCTAATTCCTTTAAGAACTTTTTTTCTTTCATTTTGGATTTCCACGTTTTTTCTCCACCCATCAAGTTTTAATAAACCTCTAGTCAAAGAAGTATGTTGAGTACTAAAGCGCTGAATGAATGAGTTTTCTATTAGCTTTCCTTCTTTCTTTTCTAAGAATTTATTATATTTTTTTCTCATCCTAATAATCAACTTGGATTTTCCCTCTTTGGACTTTTTAAAATGAACTGTATCCATCATCTTTCCCTTTTCATAATTCCTCTGAACATTATCTATTTTTTCTTCTTTTAAATGATGAATGTATTCTTTGGCTTCGCTTTTATCAATCAAGAGCCGCATAACATCTCGCTCCTTCTTAGCTTGCAGATCCAACTTCTGACTTTCCCAATATGCTTTTTCAATGGCATATAAAGGGTGAAGTCTTACAGATCCATATGCTTTTGCAAAGACTCTCTTTTCAATACTGCCAAGTTCATTCATTGGCAAAGTTTGTGGTGCAGGACGTGTGATGTTACGCATATCATGCGCAGTATCAAAAAATTCTCTCTCTCTCTCTTTGCACGTTTTCCGATGTTCATTCAGAGAATAAAAAGGCATTTTAGATACTGAAAGTCTACACGTAGTTGCCATCTTCATTTCATTTTTTTCTCTCTCTGTGAAATCTAACATGAAACAATTCAATTGTTATATTGTTATATCACAAAATGATATTAAATAGTGACAAAATGATCGTTAAAATTGCCAATATGCTATTTATTACCTTGATTACAACTACCGTACATCCAATTGCAAAAGCAATGTTATTCTTCCAATTGATTTTAGGGTTGTATGAATGAGACCGGAAAGAATTATATTACTGGTGAAATTCAGTCCTGAAATTTAAAGCTGCCTGTAACCCAATGAGGAAACTCAGGATTGCTTATTTGTTTGTACTCTCAGTCATGTAATGAAAATCTGGACCTGTTAAAGGTCTTGTGATCAACTCCCACTGAAACCAATGGAGCAAATTAATCAAACATATACTTCATTGTTTAAAGTTGGGTACAACTGCAACCATCTGTAATCATTTTTAAAGGTGTGTGACTCTAATTTATTTTCTTAGCTTCTAATTGATTGAAAAGCTTCATGCTAATTACTTCTTTGTTCCTGAGCATCAACACTCATTCACAAATTGCAATGGCTAAGTCTCAAAAGTGAGAAACATTTGAGTAAAGTCACTCCAAATTTATACTGGAAATGTGAATAACAAGAAAAGATATTTTATTGGGCTTGATAGAAGTGTAAAAAAAAACTAGAAAATTCGGGATTCAAATACCTATTCTGATACATAGGCTTTTAAAGATTACTACACAATCCAAACCAGATTTTTTTTCTTTTGATATCGATGGACAAACAGTTGGAAAAATGTTATGGAACTGCGCTTTTGTACCAGATAATTGTAGCCAAATTTATGGTATGCAGAAAGATGGAAAGATTCAGCACTATCCAGAAAGGAAGAATGATTGCTGAAGATGATGGAATTTGCTGAGAAGGCTAAATTGACTATTTTGGTCAGAAAAAAAGATAATATCCACATTTATTGCTGGCTGAAAATACCTGATAGATTATTTGCATGAAAAATAAAAATGAATGTATGCTTTGTGGTTTTGGTGATTAGACAGAACAGATTATAAAAAGAACAACCACAGAGTAAGAAGTAAATTTAAATTGAATTAATAACTGCTGGAAAGAAGATTGGAAGCTACTTCTTTGTATCTTTTTTCTTTCTTTTCTATTTTTCTTTTCTTTTCCCTTTCTTGCAAACACACACACAAACACACACACACACACACACATATTATATATCTATAAAAAAGAAACATTTAATCTGTTCTCAGGGGCCTTTCTAGAATCACCCACAAAAAAGCACCCACTGCATAATTTTGTCCACAATTTAAGAATGTAATTCTGTTCTAGATGTACATTGTAAACTTTATCCTTGAATTCTTAATTTTATTTGCCTATTTCCAGGCTTGCACCTCCTACTAGATTAACAGTGCTCCAAAGTTGGATGGTGTCTTGATATAATTTCCTCTTTCTCTATTAGTAACTTTGGCAAACTACTTTGAGGATAAATGGGAGCAAGGAAAAATATTTGTCTATAATCCTGACACCTTTTCCACTCTTATCAGCAATAATCCGAACAAATCCCACGTGAGCTTTGGGACAAAATTTTGTATATAATTTTATTAAAACTTTTTAAAAACATTAAAAACACAAACTAAGAGAAAGTAAGAAAGAAAAAAAAAAAAAGAAAAAAATCAACAAAAAACCAAAAACTGCAAGAAAAGAAAGTCAAAGAAAAGCAGAGAAGATAATATAGCTTTTATTTTTTTATTTAAACATTTTAATAAAACTTATATGCAAAAAAAGACTTCGCATAAAAATAAAAAATGTACTTTTGACTTAAGATTGTGATGATTATACAGAACAGATTATAGAAAGAAAAGCAGTATAACACTTTGAGATCACATGATGTATTAATACCATTTTTTTAATGCCCTGGTAAGACCACACTTGGAATACTGCATCCAATTTTGATTGCCACAATGTAAAAAAGATATTGAGACTCTAGAAAGAGTGCAGAGAAGAGCAACAAAGATTATTAGGGGACTGGAGGCTAAAACATATAAATAACGGTTACAGGAATTGGGAAAGTCTGGTTTAATGAAAAGAAGACCTAGTAGTGATAGCAGTGTTCCAATATCTCAGGGGCTGCCACAAAGAAGGGGTCAACATATTCTTCAAAGCAGCTGAAGGCAGGATAAGAAACAATGGATGGAAACTAATCAAGGAGAGAAGCAACCCAGAACTAAGGAGAAATTTTGTGACAGTGAGAACAATTAACCAGTGGAACGACTGTCCTCCAGAAGTTGTGGGTGCTCTAACACTGGAGGTTTTTAAAAAGAGAGTGGACAACCATTTGTCTGAAATGGTACAGGGTTTCCTGACTGAGCAGGAGGTTGGACTAGAAGACCTCCAAGGTTCCTTCCAATTCTGTGATTCTGTGATTCTATCTAAAGGTCAAAGTATATTTGTATTTATAACTACTGTGAAGAATAAAAGAAGTGACTGGGGCAACATTTTGAAGGGACTCAAATAATAGTACCAGCATAGGTAGTTGCTCTTTGTGTTTAGCTTTTCTTCTTTTGACCTCTCTTTGATGGGTATTCTTTTTTCTTAAACACATATTTATATTCCTTTACAAAAATATGTTGCAATTGTTCAAAGAAGCTAAAGCTGAATGACCTTGGGTCAGCACTCCATTGTCCTGGCCTAGAGTTGTAAAAGTGCAATAGATGTTATTGTGCCCAAGCCTGTCCTGATTCATCAAACTTATTTTAAATTTCAGACAGCACGTAATGGCTATCTATTCTCTGCATGCATTAAGGATTTTTTCCCCATTATTTTTACCAAGCTCTCATACTCTACATCAGGGGTGTCAAACTCGCAATGTCATGTGACGTGTCGCGACATATCGTGACTTTTTTGCCATTGCCGGCAATGGGGTGGGCGCGGTTTCACTATGATGTATCCGGCCCGAAGGCCAGCAGTGTGACACCCCTGCCCTACATGCTTTATTTCTAATTTATACATAGGTCCAGGTGATAAATAGAAAAATAAGTAGAACTTGGTGAGACAAAGAAAACAGCAATTACTTTCTGGTCCCCGCTAATAAATATGTTTTCCCCTTAATGTTAATTAACAATTATATGCAAGACACAGTATATAAAAAAAAAACCCACATGGAATTACAAACTAATTAAGACATGTGGAAAAAAATGGAAGAAAAAATAAAACAGGAATGTTGTGCAATGGCATCAACATGGGTAAGGAAAAGGTGCCTAGCAGCAGATGGTGCCAAATATAACCTGGGAAGCTGTCCCATTTGGTGGCAAGCCAAGTCTAATTTTTTTTTTTACATCATTGCTGTGAAAACAAACCAGAAAATGAATACATAAATAACTAAAATAATACCCTGCATTTCATTTCTTCTATATAAAAAGTAATTTAACATTTTTTTTTGTTTGTCCTATGGTAAGAAGGCATTTTAAACAATAGAAGAAGCATTTGTTCTATCAAATCTACATCTAAAGAGAATTTAAATATAAAATATATAAGGGAGAATACAAAACTTTTTATGCAAGTTATGTGACACATTTTTCTCTGCTGTTGTCCAGGATAATACATCTTATAGCAAGGTTTCCTGTCGGAAATAATTCAGCATTTTATTCTTAAAATTATTTATGTAGATAAAGAAGCTCCCACATACTTATGGATCTCCCAGTCTATTGCCAATATTAACAGAACTGAGTAACAGACTGAAAGACATGGGCTCTTTTTTCCTCTTTTCCTCCAAATCTCCAAATATATGCAGATAAATACACATTGGAAAATATATGTACACCGATTGATATATTTCCAAATCAAGGGAATATCTCGGGTGTAGTAATTAAAGATGCTGGGTTTGAAGATGCCATCCTCAGACAGGTGCAAAACTAGCTGGGTGATTTGGGTCCAGCAGGACACTTCTGAAAATCTTGCCATTAAAAACTACAGGCATCTGTCCATGTAGTCACCAGGAATTAGGACTGACTCAAAATATGCATAGTCTTATACTATTAAAAAACATACTAGGTCAAAGGGACCTGCAAGAAATGATTATGAAAATTCAACCCAACATCTCTGCCATGTTCCTAAGTACCAGAACTGAATAGAAGTTTACAATTCATATCATTCTTGAAATGAATCATTTTACCAGTGTCTCATGTGTTAGTGGATTTATCATGTGTGACACAAAAACAGAGGAAAATATCTTCACGGATTTTCAAAATAGCAAAAGGCGGCATGAGCTACCCATAGTAATGCATTTATTTTCTGTAAACAGTCAAAGTTGTAAGGAACAGGTGTAAAGAGATACTAATTCTTGTTTCTGTTTTCCACAAATAAATCAGGAGTTGCTCAGAACTATAATTATGCATATTACTTTAGATTTGAATTCACTTATTTATGAGATAAAACTGGCCTTTACAGCACACATTTTTCATTTCATAATTGTCTGGCTCATTTTCTATTTCTGCATTTAATGGAAGATCTTCCACTTATTTATCTCAAACCCATTGTATCCCTAACTATTTTATACTTATCCCTAACTATTTTATACTTATCCCTATGTTCAAATTTATATAAACTGTGGGTAAATAATTGTTTTACACCCAAGGAACATTTTTTCTCCTTATTTCTACTGGTAATAGGAGGGCCACAACATAATGGATGCTGTCCAAAGTACACAGAAATGTTTTTGATTTGGGTTTGAAATATGTCACTCATTATAAAGGCATCTATGATATTATTCATAAAGACATAGCAATAGCACTTAGACTTATATACCACTCCATATTGCTTTACTGTACTTTCAGGCAATTTACAATATTGCCTCCAAAATCATGGTCTTCATTTTACTGACCTCAGAAAGATGGAAGGCTAAATCAACCTTGAAGCCTGTCAGGATCAAACTCCCAACTGTGGGTAGAGTTTGTCTGCAATATTGCATTTTAACAACTGCGCCATCAGGACTCCTACACATGCAAGTGCTTAAGAACACATAAAGTGTAATTTCACATAAAAATCTTTAAATTATGTCCACCAATTTATTCCCTACTCTGAGTATATGTCCCAACTAATTTTATAAATTTTATAACTTTATAAACAAAATGTATTAACGATCCCCTTCCTGACACACTACACATTAAAAATGCTGGTTATGTTGATATATCTAGTCTTTTTATCCTACGCTTCCATGATAATATTTGTATGTAACATTAAAGCTTAAACACAGCAACCTTAAATGGATAAAAATTGGATTAATAAATGAATATAACTATCAGACATCAAAGTGAAAGAATATTCAGAAGTCTGTACATACTATAGAAAAGACACTTGTTATAGAAGTTAGGTAACTAACCCTTCTTTGTTGATTTTGATTCCTTCTGTTTAGTCTTTTTCTTTTCTTCCAGTCTGATAACAGGATATTTTAATCTTCTTAAAGTTAAACGAAATTCTTTAAGATTGTTCATGTCTATAATCTGTTAAAATCAACATTTCATTCATTAAAGATCTGGGAGAGAAAAATGCCAGAATTCTTCAAACAGCAACAGATTTTTTTATTAATTTTATTACTGTACATGTAATAGTGCAGCAAAATTATGCATTATGAATTATGCTATTCTTTTTCTTCATTTTTAGCCCCTTTTTTTTGAAAAATTGTTTGTCTCTCTAGGCAGCATCATGGTTTGCATGGATGAATGAATGCTTGTTCCAACCTCACACCTCTCTGCTCCTTGAATAAATTCCAGCTTTTAGACTAAACAACCCTTTCACTCATCATCTGTTACACCAAGATGCATTTCTTTGCAGCGAGTACATGACAAGGGCACCTTAGCTTTATCTGTGCAAATAAACAAGAAAAGCTCTTAGTCTGAGCAGAAGCATATGCTACTCCTAGGGCATTTTAAAATAACTTCAGAGCTGCTTGAGTTGAAAACCTCTGTTTACACATATCTACAAGTAGAAGCTATAGTTAAATGCAGATTTTAGCCTTTATAGTCGTTTATCAGTGGAAGACATGGAAGGGAAGAGTATTGTTTAACCAGCTTAATTAACATAAATGTTTATAACCAATACAGAAGGTAATTTTTAGCTGCCATATTGAAAAAAATAGATAAGAGTTTCTGAGGTCAGCAAAGCCCAACTGCATGCTTGCTGGCAGAATGAATCAAGTGAAGGAGAAATGGGTTGTGTTGCCATTCCTCTCATCCTAGTTATTTATTCTTAAAAGGAATTTCCTGACACTGAAACCAATGGAATGAGTCAACCTAAATTACACACCCATTGAAAAGGGAAAGACTTTGGATATAATGGGTCTACTTTATCTCCCCTACCAGGTAAGTATGGTATTCCCTTAGCACATTTTGGTTTCTTTCCAGTAACTGAACGCTCAATGAAAAAAAATAGTGGGATTGGATAGCCTTACAGCAAATAGTGAATCGATTTCCTCCATTAGCTTTATCTCCTTGAACATGGGAGGATGAAACCTAAAAACCATATGGAGCTTAGGTATTCTCTCAGAGAACAGAGGTTTGGGTTAATTTTTGTCTGAACCAATACAGGTGAATTGGTAAACAATACCGGATATTTTGGGCGTTTGTTGTTCTTTTGTTTAAAAGGAGCACTCGAGAGATCTTACTATTTTAAATGTTCAGGAAAGTTAAAAAAAAAAAAAAGGAAAATCAAACATAAATTAGAGAAGTATTTTTGTGCCATTCAAAGTAAGGCAAAAGAAAAACATGAATGGCGATTTTCCAAAGACAAAGAAATTAGGAGCTAAAAGTCAGCTCTCAAAGCTATGCACCAACAGGAACAGCCTTAAAATCAAAATAGTTTTTAACTGATAAGGAAACTCCCTAAGATCCAAGTTAGAGTTTCTTTCCATACAAAGTTATGGCATGGTGTCAGCTGTACAGTATTTCTTACATTATCCTGTGTCGTTTGCTATCCCTAAACCATTGCAACAATTTAGTTATTGTAAAAGATTCATGTGCAGAAGCAAGTTTGTAGTTTCAGAACATTCCACATAATGGAAATCTTGAGGAAAATCACAAAATACAAGAGAAATTTAAGAATTTAAACAGGTAGTTTTCTGGAGGTCATTAGTGAGTTTGTTAAAGCAGTTACTGTTACTAATGACACTATAAACCAGAAGATTTCCCATAACACTTTATTTCTTTCTATCATTTCTTGAACTTTAAGACAATCAGCATGTGGGCAGGGAATATAAATATTCATATATTTATTGGCAGTATTTAAAAATTTAGTTGTCTTATTAATAAGAGTGCAATGATTCCAATTGCTATGTGTATGTTTGATACTTCAGCTTATGCCAAGTCACGAAAAAGAGGAGTTATTCTGAAGATAACGGAGGAGAAGCTACGTTTGATAGCTAAGTGCATCAAGATGCTTTAGAAAAAAGAACATATCATTTCTAAAAGAGTTTTATAGAGACATATTACTGAAATATATATTCAGGCTTTGATGATACTTACATGGCAAAGCCATAGGCCATCATCATAGGAAGCAGTAGCAGATGTTGCTCACCACAACGGAAGTAATTGCATGTCAATTTAAAATATATCATTGCAATTCCTAGTAATGAACAAGCCTTTTTTATTTCAAGCCATTCAGTCTGACACAGATTGCAGCTAGTTTGATTTAATATTATTTGCTCTTACTTTTGAATGTAATTTAGACACATCAGTGCTGAAATTTGTTCCAATAGTTTATCCAAACAGACTGCCAGGATTATTTCATTTCAATAAAGAATATCAATTAAGACATAAAATAATGCTAGTGTGCTTAACTATGCTTTTCAGAATTCCACATTATATGTTTACATCTGTTAGTTCAAAGTAACATTTTCTCAATTTTCTCAATCTTTTTTCCCCTAGGATGCTATACTGGCTAATTAAAAAAAATGCAATCCAGATATCAGCAGATTTAAACTAGGTGCAATTATTCAACTTCTAAACATTCCCAATTCCTTCAAGCTATCTACATATGGCTTAGTTTTTATCTCCTTGATCATGCTTTTCTGAGCCTGACCCATTTTGTCCAAACCCTTCTTAATATGAGGTGATCAGGATAGCACGTAAAATTAAAGGTAAATTCTAATCAAAGCAGAATAAAATATAATTGTTACTTTGTTGTTGCCTATGGACTATACTTCTATTGATGCAACAGTTTTTCCCTTTTTTGTAACCATAGCACATTACTGATGTATATTTACTTTGTAATCAGCTACTATTCTAATACAAATCAGTGATTTGTTATTCTATATCTGTGCATTCAAGTTATTTAACTATCTTATTTTGTATTTCTGTTTGGTAAGTTTTCAGATCAATTATCCTATTTCTTTAACCTAGCAAGATAATTTTGCATTTTATTCCTCTTTTCTACAGCATTAACTATTCCACATAGGTTTTTTCATTCAAAAACCTATCCAAGTCATTAATAAAATATTGAGAAGTATATGGGCCAAGAATGAACTTTCTGGCATGTCACTTAAAGTTTGCACCAGTTTGATGACAAAACATAGTTGAGTATCCTTAGAATATAACATCTGAACTACCTATGTTTTCTCTTAATTACCATAATACAGAACCCACATTCATCTATGTTCTTAATCAGAATGTATTGGGTACTTTATTAAATACTTGGCTGAAATCAAGCTTCATCATATCTAACAGCAACACCACAATCTACTCCAGAAATTACCAATGAAAAGGATATACCTTTTCTAAGTCATCAAGCAATAAACAAAAGAAAAACTATTATATAGAAAAGCAATATAATACAATTAAAAATAATCACTATGCAATAATCAAGGCACTAAACAATCAACTTAACAACACAAAAAGTTACATATTAGACTTCACCAGCATCTGGGGGATGCCTAACACCTGGAGGGAAAGCCAGATATTTCACTAAATATTTGGCCAGCCTATATAATTTACCTTCTATTGCCTATCCACAGATATTTTATCTAAAAAAACGAATAGACTGAAACTCTATTTACCTCCATACTGTCATACTCCAGGTAATTAGTTTTATTGGAGCAGAACACTCCACTACCAAAGAACTCTGATTAGTACTGTGCATTGCTTTGCTACATTTTTTATGCTTTTCCTTGGATCTACCAACTTTTTTGGAACAATATGCAAATTGCAGATTACTATAGTTTCTAAATTAAAGCATAAATAGCATACTTACTTGGATTGCAGGTGTACCTCTCTTAAAACTTGTAGGCTGTTCTTGCTTAACAGTTTCAGAGACAGGGCTTTTATTACTGTCCACAGAAGTTGTATGCTCCTTTTTTCTACCTCTGATGTAACGGCTGTACCACAGAACTTCAGACATAGGACTCAGACTATTAAAAAAATAGTTTGACAATTTTATTTCAAGGAGTTAAAACAGGATTAATATTACGTACATTCAAAACAATATAAGTAATATGTATTTCATTTTTATACATTTTTCCTTGCAGATTGTTGCATATATTATCTAAAGCAAACAACCAGAAAATTACCTGTCAAAACATTATCACATTATTGAGAGCACAAAATCAAAAACTGCATCAAACTGCTACTGACAAAAGTACCATGATAAAATTTTATTCTATAAAATTCAGTTGGATACAATTCCTTTCAACCTCATAATATTAGTTTAATGTAATTCTATGCAAGTTCGTTCAATTTCCAAATATAGACCATAGGGTACTGCAGCTCTGTCATTCTATGTATGACTTATTTGGTTTTAATTTATATATCACTGATATATATTAACATAATGCCCTCCATTAATCCATATACAAATAATTATGTGTGTACCACAAATTTCATTCACTATGTCTCAACACAAGGAGAATGGCTATTTGGCCAAAATTAGCTGAAACAACCATTCAGGGCAAAAAGTACACAATTCATGTTTAACACGTGTGTGCTTGTAAGAGAATGTCTTACAGGTAGTCCTTGACTTATGTCCAGTCACTTAGCAACTGTATGAAATTACGATAGATCTCCCAAAAGGTACTTATGACCTTCCTGATTTGGAAATGACGATGGCCACATTCCCTTCCTCCAGTCACATGATCACATTTTGGGTGCTTGGCCACCAGCTAACATTTATGTCTGTTTGCAGCATACCGCAGTCACATGACTATGATTTTCAATGTTTTTTGCCGGTTTCCAGCATTTACTTCCAGTTTCTGGCAAAAAAAACACCCCACCCATTGGGTATAGTGGAGTTGCTTAACAACCATGGCATTCACTTAATGTTCACTGCATTTGCTTAATGACTGCCACTAAAAATGTCACAAACCTGGGTCCAGTCATGTAGTGACACACTTAACAACCGCAATGATTTACAACCAAAATTCCAAGCTCAATTGCAGACATAAGTCAAAGATAACCTGTCATCTCTGCGCCTGCAGCCACATACACAAATATGTATGGACAAGCATGTACTACCTGTACCGTACATGCTTATCCAGGTACTTATCTCAACAGTAGAGATAAAACCTGAGATAAGGAATTTTCCATCAAATCAGGAATGGATGACAGTACTTTGAAAATGGTAAAACAGGATATTGGAAAGCTATAGCAAGGCAGCCCTAGGTTTCTGGTGAAAATGATTGCCACATACATCATAAAAGAAAGCTAAAGTTCATATGATTACCTTATTCCAGGGGATATTTAATTCCTGGTTAGGCATAGATATTTGAAAAAGTGTGCATTAACTGCCCTCCGGTTTCCAAATGTTATTTACAAATTCAGAAAGTATCTAAAGCTTCAAGCTACTTAAGTACTCTAAGTTCAAATACGATGTTTATTTCCCACCTTGTGCCTGCCACTCCAGGCAAAATTTAACAAAATGTAAATAAAAAGTAGAATATACAAAGTTAAGCCTCAAAGTACAATAAAGAGTAAAATAATTAGTAAAGCCATCTAACAATCATAAGCCTGGCATAAATCATGCCTGTGTAGATGTCCAAAATACTGAGAGAGTGGAAGCCAAACATAATCCACAATCCCTTGTTTCTCCTGGCAGTAACATAGGAAAAGGACCTTCTCTTAGGTCAGTGGTTCTCAACCTGTGGGTCGGGACCCCATTTGGGGTCGATCGACCATTTCATGGGGGTCGCCAAGCAAGGCTGTCCGCCATTTATTTTGTCCGCCATTTTTTTGCCCGCCATTTTTCCCCCTTTTCCAGCGGGTGCCTTACCTCCCTTGGGCTGGGCCAGCTGGTGGTCGGCCTGCTCCGTCTCTGCCGCTTGCCAGCTACGCCTCGGCCGCCGCAGGAGGAGAACCATGCATGCGCGGCGCTCCCGGGCAAAGTCCTCGACTTACAACCGGTTGGGTAGTCCTTGACTTACGACCGGTTTAGTCCTCGACTTACGACCGGTTTAGTCCTCAACTTACGACCGGTTGGGGTCGCGGCATTAAAAAGGTTGAGAACCACTGTCTTAGTGAAAGAAAGATGAGCCTCTGACAGTGGAGGCCTCTTCACTTACAAATGCTCTTTATGGGAAATGAGGGGGCTTGGCACTATTCTTCTCCAGACTGCCTCAAGGAGATTATTCACTGAACATTTCATTCGCTAACCATGTCCTGTCATTCTTCTTTAGAGAGGTTTATTTTCAGCTGAGGTCCTCAGCATTCAATAGCAAAAGCCCTTATTTGACCTTTTTTTAGCTTATTAATTTATGAACCGCTGCATAATTTGTGAGTCATCTGACTATACAAATTTAAAAGCGGCCCCATCAAACTGAAAGCCATTTTACATGTCTCATAATAATACATAGGAACTAAAAGAATGCCTCCTTAAAATAATGCTACCATACCATGCATTGTATATTCAAGAACTGGAGTATTTGGCAGTTCAACTGAATAGTATTTGCGTAATAGACAAAGACCTATAATTAGAAAGACATTTCAACTGTATGTTGAAATACCAAATATGAATATCAACATAACTAAAACTTCCTCATGCAATAATCTTGCCAGCTTTCAAAGGTATTTATTTTATAAAGTTACTCATAGCTTCCACTGAATATTACAGGCATTAGTTCAAATTTCATTTGTGTCTGATTTTTATTTATTTTAAAAATTTGTATAGCTGCCCAGCTTAGAAATGCAACTGAAGGCTAACAAGGGATTAAAAGCAAAACAAAGTAAATAATAAACATAAAAGAATCATAACAACAGAATGTAAAAATATATATAAACAGCAGCCTAAGTTATAACATATTCAAAATATTAAATTCTTTTTCCAGATGAACTCATCCAATGTCCTAACCTAGGACTGCAGGGGGGGGGGAATCTAGTTTATAAAGACTTTAAAAAGGCCAAAGGCTTCTAAAATTCACAGGACATGCTGTTCCAATGTCCAAGCACTTTTTTCAGAGAATGCACACTTCCTGGGTCTCATTAAATGGCAACTGTACCGATGGTTATTATAGAGTATAGGATAATATTGACTAGCTAGCCTTTGCCAGACCAGCATTTCAGTCTCCCCCTCTTCCCAATTTCAAAATATGGATAATAATATAATCCATTTTACAGAGCTGTTTTAAGAATGACCAAGCGAATTACACTTTTCAACTTAGATTTTAACTTGATACAGATTTGAGGATGATGCCGGCACTTCCCTTGATCGATATCGCAGTGGCTAGGAAATCAATTTTAACTATCTTTATAATCATCTTACTTATCTAGCTTCAGCCCAAAGGTTCACAAGTGGTCACAGAAACGTTTACTTAAATAACCTTGTTTCCTAAAAGGGTCATAACAATTTAGCAGCTAAGTGTTCTCTTGTGAAATTATGCAGACAGAGAAGGGACAATAATAATATGAAATTTTTAAACAAATTAGCACAGTGGATAAACATTCCATTATTATGTGTGTGAAAGCATGCTATTAAGATTATTATTTCCGTCTTAAAATATGTGTGCTTGTAAAATCACTGTTATGTTTCTGTCGTGCCAGAGCTGCAGGAAAAAGTGAAGGAGCTGCATTTCTATTTCAAGTTTTCAACATTGTCTGTAGATGCACAGCATGGTGCCAACATGTAAAGACATGCATTTTGCATTACGTATCTTCTGTACTCTCTCCTCTTCTGTACATTGGACTCATGGAAAGAGCAACCTGAAGATATTAGTTAAAAACCAAGTAAATTGTCAGTTCCTTAAAGAAAATGTGACCTTCTGCCAAAACAATGCACTGTCTGTCACTCTTCATCAGAATAATAGCTTGACAAGTTTATTGTTGTAAGTATTTCATTTTCCTTGCCAAATAACGGAGTGTTATCAAACAAGATGGTTGTCAACATTCAACCTCACTTCAAGCAATACAAAATATAGACAGGCAGTTATAGTGTGATTACATGGCTCTCTGTTTAAATGTTCTGAATTTTCCAAGAATCCTCTTCAGGAAAACAAACAAACAAACCCTTAGAACTTTAAGGCAACCTCTCCAATCTGGCTACTCCCCAGCTGTGTTAGAACTACAATTTCTAACATTTGCAAACTGGCTAACAATTCTAAGGGGCTGAAGTTGTAATGCATCTCAAGTATGCTAGCTAAAGGAAGACTTTCCCACAAAAGTCAGCATCATTATGCAGTTACTTTTCACTGTTTATCACTGAACTTCAGTAACACCTCTGCTTCAACCTCTGCTGTGTTTGTTATTTCTTCTTTCTAATTCATTAAGCTCCCTTTCTCGGCCTCTGGTGCTTCTTCAGTCACTCCTGCAGACCATCCCTCAGACCTTATCACATTATTGCACAGTACTTTCCTATCCTCTTCCTGGTGTCTCAGCAGTTTCAACATATGTTTGAAAGTGGAGAGGATTCAGAAGTTATGTCCCTGTGGTACAGCCTTATGGCAGGTTTAATGATTCCTTTTCTTGAACTGCCAAGAAGGTCTACCTGAACGCCACAAAGAAAAATATGTGCAGTTCCTGAGCTAGTTGGGCTGCCTGGGCCCTATACAAATGACCAGCCAATCTAGCACAGTATGAGATTCATTGATCTAAACTGACAACCTTTCTAATCTTACTCGGTATAAGATGCTGGAACTGATGGAGAGTATTTTGACAGATGTGGTTTGCTTGGTTTCTGAATGCTTCACAGAGCACCATCTGTGTACAAATAATACAAAGGCACAAGTCAGTGCTTTTCATCTTATAAATTATGATGCTGAGCATGAATTTACCATCATCTGCTGTGGGGTATAGTTCACCCAGTACATAAATCCAGAGTATCTTGAAGAATATACTTTCTTTCAGATATCACATTGAAAAGGCCAGGCAACTTTAATATCGATAATAACACTTCAGTAAGTCATTCTCTTCACCTTGTCACACTTAAAAT